CATACTTGCGTCAAATCCCGACATCTTGCACGATCAAATTCCGATCGCACGTGTCGAAAACCTCGTACTTGAATAGTTTCGTTTGGAACGTAAAAACTCATATTTCGTCATATCCCAACATGGATAAACCTGTTGAAATAATCCTGGAAACTAATCCTATGGGTTAGTGGAGCATGGTGAGGCAAAAAGAAGTGGCGAAATATGCCTTGGGTTTACAAAAATAGCAATTTTGTAGTTTTTGAAAATCGATTGTGTTCCAGTTTGGTTTATCTGCTGTCTTTGTAATTGCCTCTAGGCTACCGCATCACAGCCAATACTTTGACTTTAATGCTTTTAATATAGATTGGTAGTGAACGTTATGGCTTGAAAGTTATTGTAGGCTTCTCCGCAATCCATTCTTTGTACCATCACGAAAACTTCCAAATCGCCTTTCTGCTCAAATAAGATCAATTTGGTGAATCGTTTCGACATAATCCGGCCCAATATTCCTTGATGTAGGATATAATAGACTAGAATATTGTGTTTGATATAAAATGATCGAACGAGTCGATTAAATTGCCGACGAGCGAGGCGAGGAACAGAAATAGTCCAAATTGAAGAGCAACCAGCAGACGACATAAATGGGGATTTTTTTGTTACTGTTCATCACTTGTCTGCAAACCTATACCGGCACTTGTGAAGTAACAGTACAGTATCTAGATTGGCACATGCAGACGAAATAATACTTCTCGCCGTAGTTACGGTTATGTAAAAGGATTCTGGTTCTCTCCAACATTATGCCCCGCATACGTTAGCAGTCTCTCTTCCCCCCCCCCGGCCAAGAGTAGCCCGGCTAGAATTGGCATGGCGGACAGACGCCATCGTCAGTCCCTCAATATCCGGTCGAAGGAGTCGGACGCCTACATCATTCATACAACTCGTTCATTTCATGCATTCATTTTCTTCGTTTGTTCATTCCTGAACTATGCAAGATCAACAATAAAATGGAACCAACAAAAAGAAAGATGGCTTACTTGTTCCTCCTAGCAGTCTCATTCATTGTATCGCACACGTCCGCTCTACTTGTTCGGACCGATTCTAGTCGCAGTACAGTTTGTCTTCAGATGGCAGATGCGACGTCAGTTAATACAGCTAATAATCGAGACATCGCACAAGGAAATGAACTTGACGACTTCGTTGAAGAAATCACCGTTGATGTAAATTCGCTCGATACGTTGGAGGTTAAAAAACGACTTCTAGAATTGCTACCAAGAATGACGGGATCATCTACAGAGTTTCGTGAGGTAGAAACTCTTGTTAATACCTTGGAGGATCGGCACAAGCCTGTTCTAACACTGGATTTCCTGAACCTCGCGATGGCAGGAGAGTGGCAGCTACTATTTTCTACAAGTTTATCAAGCCGGCCGAGACAAAATTTTCGCATCACAGGTAAGTAGGCACTTTTATTCCTTGATTTCGAAAATGCCGTGCTTACCAGGTTTTCCATTCAGAAATGTTCCAACGCGTGGAATCTGTTTCCATGAATTCTCAGAAGGGAACAGTTGCGAATGAAGTCTCTTGGGAGCTTGCAGAAAATGAACTCTCTTTTGATGCCTCTGGCTTGTTTACTGTTGTGTGTGAGTACGAAATTTTCAGAGGCTCTCGACTTGAAGTCAAGTTACAGGATAGTATTCTCAAGCTCGCAAAAGGGTCTCCGCTGCCTGAAGACCTAGAAAGCTTAATTGGGTTGATTAATAGTGCTATGCCGAAAGAGTTATTTGACCCCAGCGATCATGCTGTTGACACAACATATTTGGATGGTGATCTCAGAATCACACGGATGACTGGACCCCGCTTCGAAGGTGTTCGTGATATCTTCATAAGGAGAGGAAGTATGAAAATAGACTAGGTCATGTACGATCCGCAATGAGTCTTGTGGGCAAGCAGGCTCGCCGCTCGTTCAGGGTGCCTTGGTGTGGTGGGTACGAGAACAGAACTCTGAGGGCCAAAAAAGTGGATATCGGGAGAGTGAAGACTTCGGTTAATCGCTGAAGTTACAAGGCATAGATATGTTGAAATGAACGATCATTTCCATTTAGAAAAAGTTTCTAGCTATGGCGCAAACTACTTCAACTTATTGTAACCTTATGGGGTTAATGGACATGGTTGTCGTGCTGAAATCGTTCAAGCACAGATTTAAGTAGAAATTTAGTTCAACTATGACCTAACATCGCGTGCAAGTCTACCAAGTTTGCTTTTCTCAATTACTGCGTTTTTACTTCTGAAAACCTACAATTTGAAGCCAAGCATCGAAAGAAAAGAGCAAAGTTTGTTTTCTGTTTTCTATTTAAGGACTTCAACGGAGATCAACTGAATCATCGTCAGCGCTTGAATCGTCATCGCCGAAGTCGAGACCGTCCAACTCATTTTGCAAGGCATCTTCGTCTATCGGATCACCATCTTGAACTTGTCTCTCGTAACCAGTTTTCGCAGAAGAAAGATCAGCCCAATCGTCACTCCCGATATTATTGGACGCATCGCTGTCTTTTAGAGTTCGTTTGGGCTCTGATTTTTTGCTAGAGTCATTCTTCGATGATTGACTACTCTTTGGACTTCGCTTGCGCTCTGCCTTTTTGCTTGAACTGTCTTTGGTAGTTACCTTTCGAGCAGTCCCATTCGTCTGAATCATACCGACAAGCACTCGCAAACATTCATGGAGGTTGCCGATTGCTGCTCTGTTTGTTCCCTTTGATGATCTTACTTCGTCTAATTGTTCGTCGTCTCTACTTTTCACTAAACAAAGAATAATGTCAATCAATGGGATAATAATGATGGAAGAACAGCAAAAGCCCACACCTACCTGCGCGGAAAAGCTCCTCAGCAAACTTGCACTCCCGTGAAGTAAGGTACGAAGATTTCTGCACGTGCCTTTGTAAAAAGTTTTCTTCGGCGGCAATGGGATCGCCCATTGCGAGAGTCAAGATGGTTTCCGTGAGAAATGCCCTTGATAGAGACAGCGTTGCAACACCTCCTTCTGACAATAGTGTTGTGGCCGCGCCTGCACAGTACAGTGCCGAAGCAAATTCATCGTACGACACCAATAAATATACAACCTCCTGGACAGATTCATGCGCATAAGCCTCCGTAACAATCTGCTGCTTAGCCAATTCAAGAGTTTCCAAAGATGGATTTTGTGCCGTTTCTCCACTGTCCGCAGTGATGAAGACTGAAATACCGGTCTGCCGATATCGTGAATACGGGTTCAAAGGGTCTGGAACATGCGCCTCAATTGCCTCTTCAATGGCCATCACAACATCACCGGAAAGAGCACGAGATTCGTCTCCATCTATCAATGTAAGCGCAGCCTTCACCTGGGAAGCAGCTGCTTTGGCACGCTCATTTGCATTTCGCCATGCTTCTGAGCTCTTCAGATGGAGCTCTCGTGAGACCTGCTGCTTTGCTTCAAAACTTTCGTTGGGATCATCGACAATCAATTCTGCGGCGCGGGTAAATTCTAAAGCAGCCGTGGCATAAGCCCCAACCTGGAGTTGGCAATCAGCATTGTCCATCCTATTGAATCGTTCTAGCCGGAACTCTCCGCATTTTTGAAAATCGTCGGCAGCTCGTTTGAAATAAGTTGATGCACTAAGCGGGTCTGCATCGAAAGCGATCGAATGAGCGGTCGTTCCAACAATCTGCTGCTCGGTAAATCAAAAGTTCGGACTTACCGGGTTTAGAAAACAACCCCTTTCGGAGACATTTTTTCGCTTTATCCTGCAGAGCTTTAGCCTCTTTGAGCTTGGCAGCTTTTTCTTCACCTACAAGTCCTGGCTTCATTGGAGTTTTTTTTTCCTTGGAACGATATTGATATCCCATGGATGTCTTTGGATTTTTGGCTGCTGCACTATGAGCTGCGAGTTTCGCTTTGCTGCTTTTCTTAGCCTTGCTCGAATTCCCACTGTTTCCAAACAAGGCGTCGCGATCCGAAGCTGCGTTCTGTTTGTAACTCATAGTTGATTACTTTTAACAACTCTACCAAATTGGACTGGAAAACAGCTGAAAAACACTGAGACAAAAGTTTGGAAAAAAATGAAAATACCCTTTTGACGTGCGTGGGTCTACTGTAGTAGTCTATTCGATTAATTGGACTACATATAATCGGAATTTGTACCGTAAGGTCTTTTAGGAGTCACCCGAACCGTCTGGCCTTCTTCCGCCACGCGGACAATTAACGGAAAATTAAAAAAGAAGTGAGACACAAGTCGGGCAAAAAGAACGCGCGCAAAGTGTTACACATGGACCTACCGGATTGAATTCGAGGCTTTGGTTTTGTGCAGCTCAGTCAGGCCGGTCCACACAGGGAGTTGCGGGGAGTTTGCCTCTGATGCGTGTGACGAGTCGTAACTAGTTATCTATTCCGAATCAAACCGCGCATGCCAAACGAAACAACACCGATCAGAGCGGAGGTTTCCAAACGAAACCAAACGACACGAAACCACACGTCTCGTGTTGTTTCGGAATAAAACCAAACAAAACGAAACCGCGCGATTTCGTGTCGTTTGGTTTCGCTTCGTTTGGTTTCGTTTCGTTTGGTTTCGCTTCGTTTGGTTTCGTTTCGTTTGGTTTTGTTTCGTTTGGTTTCGTTTCGTTTGGTTTCGATATATTCCTAAAAATTGTTCGTTTGGTTTCGATTGGTTTCGATATATTCAAAAATCGAAGATATTAAGTGTTGTTGGTTCTGCGCCTTCCTTTTCGAGGCGAACGATTTTTCAATATATCGAAACCAATCAAAACCAAACAAAAGGAAACCAAACGAAACGAAACCAAACCAAACGAAACCAAACGAAGCGAAACCAAACGACACGAAATCGCGCGGTTTTGTTTTGTTTGGTTTTATTCCGAAACAACACGCGACGTGTGGTTTCGTGTCGTTTGGTTTCGTTTGGAAACCTCCGCTCTGTTCAGTGTTGTTTCGTTTGGCATGTGCGGTTTGATTCGGAATAGATAACTAGTTACGACGCGTCACACGCATCAGATGCAAACTCCCCGCAACTCCCAGTCAAAAATCGCGAACGCGAAACAGGAAATTACGTATGTAAAAACTGTTAGAAATAAGCAGACTGCTTAGCATGTCATGGCACAATATTTCCTTCTTATGTGGGGTCCATGTCATTTGTCTCTTCCGTTTTGAGATTGTAGTAGTGGAACGTCATCATGTAGTTGGCTTGTTGTTGTTCAATTGTGGATTGCGCATAGTTTAATAAGTTTGACCCATCCATCTGCTGCAATCCTATGCATACCGTACCATAGAATCATAAGAACATGACCGAACTCTGACAAATCGTTTGACTTGCAATTAAAGCAATCGAAGGCCAGTAACAAAAAACTTTACATGGTTTATTGTTGTAAGAAAAATACTTCTGTTGTCAACCGTCATTTCGTCATCTCCTTGTTTGATTGGAGGCAGGAACAATACCAATCTCTGCTTCCCCTTGTTGATACAAGTATAGTATTAGTCGTTTGGAGGTTGTTTTTGTGCTCGTTTGCGGGTGTCGTTGAAAGTGTTCATCATGTTGGTTGGTTTTTGTTGTCACCAGGTGCTCCCATCATATGATAGCCACTTTGTGCAACATTTGCTCGTTTCACTTGTTTCTTTGTGAAACCTTCTTTGTTCTTCTCCACACTCTGCAGAGCACAGTACCCTTCCATGTCATCATTTAAATTATTAGGTACTATGTGAATTGCATCTTGTTCCATTCCAGCAGGAACTTCATCATAAATAAATCCTCTTCCATCCGTCCATTCATGAAAATCTTTTCAGATACCTCGTCGTTTTGCTTCTTGAAGGAATGTACTGGGTAATCCACCAAAGCAAATTTCTAAGTCATCAACATTCCATCTCTTTAGCCAGTTCATAACACCATTGAACAAATTTTGTCCATTTCCATAAACCGTGATATTCATTCATCGCTTCACCCATAGCAATCCTATCACGCTGTAGGATGAATGCCATTCCTTTGTGTCTTTCGATTTCAATATCGAAACGTGGGTCTACTCCAGCATTGTCAATTCCACGTGCATGATTATGAAACATTGCTGTTGCCACAGCAGGTTCGTCAACCAAAGTATATAATCCATTGCGATGTCCAAATCGCCATGTAGTCCCGTTTCTGGTCACAAAGAAGCTGTTCTCTCTCTTTGTGTCCATAAATACATCAAATCCATCTTGTACCATATTCGACAAACTGTTGATGTTGTCGCTAGCTCGTGTATCAAGCTTACAAATAGAATCAAATACCTTGTCGATTCCTTCTCGATAAAGGTTTCTTCCCTCCACATTAGAGGCATAATGGAATCCTCCATCAATTCCTTGAATTGGTTCGCAAATGAAAAGTAGATCCACTATCCAAGTGGATACCAGTATTGTTGATTTGGAACAACATCATTCCTTGTTGTCTTGGATGATTATTAGTATGTCCTCGTTGAATAAATTGTCCTCCATGGGATCCATTGTTGGAACGTCCATAGTTCCATTGAGTATTTGAATCTCCCGATTCATTATCATCACGAGTTACATTCTCATCACGTTGCATATTTTGTCGATTACCACGGCCATTCACGCTCGAATAATTCCTATACTTGTCCGGGTTTTTCCACTGTTCCCGCGGCTTCAATTTGTCCGCACATTGAGGTGCGACATGATCTTTTGATCCGCATACAAAACACGCCCGAGTTTGTTGTTGCAAAAACTGAGCTCCGTCATTTTGATTGTTGTTTGACTTGTTTTGTTTTCCTTGCCCATTCGAATTTCCTCCATTCGAATTCTTCTTCCTGTTATCGTGTTTATGTTGATTCAAAACATCAGCAGCATTCTCCAAAGTAGTTGGAAATGTACAACGTTGCTTGGAATCCAAATGCTTCAACGTGTACTGCGCTGTCATTCTATCAATTCTTGATTGATACTTGGCTCTATCGGAATTATACAGAAATCCGTTGGCCATGAATCTTTCCCATGATTCCTTCTTATGTTGCTATCGTTCAGCATCGCTTCCCAATAAATCATATTCCTGACTCTTCTCATTAAATTTGTCCAAAAAATCATCACCGAGCAAAGCTTGCAATGCCTTCGCCCTTTCTTCAAATCGTTTACGAAAACTTGCAATGTTTTCCTTCTCCTTTTGATGGCAAGTAATCAGATTGCTCATGGTTGTTGGGATGTTGGAGGTATTGATATATTGAGCAATCATATTGGTCAATTATTGATCAATGGTCTATGTGACGTGACGCGGCAGTGACGTGTGACGTGAGTGTCAATCATGCGTAATATGAAACGCAGTATGTCGGAACGCGTCATCACGTAGAAAGGTGATCAAGAATGAGAATCGTGAGAATTTGTAAGATGATCTTGAACTTCAATCGAGAGTCTCAATATCGATTGAGTTCTGGCAAGAATAGTATTGTGGACGTTGAGGTCCAAACGAATATAAGAGATAATAAAGTGAGACCTTTGATTGAATAAGACTACTGCTTATTCCAGAGGCTGAGGCCCAGAGTCGCTGGTGCCCAAAGGCAGACCATAGCCGACGTAGATTCGATCTCAGGGATTGCTCATTGAAACAGACAGGGCG